ATTTTATACTTTCAATTACGAACAGGGTAGTTGGGGTATTATTTGGATACTTTAAAAAAAATGAAAAATTAATATAGGAAATGAAAACTATTTTTCCGGATTTAAATCGCGTATATTTGTTTTTTCAAAGAAACCGACGTTTCGGGCCCTTTACAGGTCCCATGGTCACGGTTGACTGTCAACCGTGACCATGGGACAAATATACGCGATTTAAATCCGGAAAAATAGTTTTCATTTCCTACGTGTAACAATCGCGAAAACCTAAGAACTCGATATGAAAAATTATGGATACATCTTTTTAATTCACAAAATAAATTCGTTGAAATAAATAAACACACCCATTATAGAAGACGTAAGACTAAATATTGGCTAACCTTTCGTGAAAAATGTAATTAAGAAATTATTTATATTCCTCATTCAAAAACAAAGTATATTCCCAGTATTCCCAGAATTGTCAACTGCTTTATAACAGACGCCAACGTCAACTCGATCAATTGGATGTGTATAAACGTACAAAAACATTCGCTATCGGCTTCGAGGAAATTTTATTCTTTAAAATTGTTATTTTAAAAAAGCTGCTCATGAAACTTCAGTCAAGATTCGATGTGCAGAAGAAAATGTTGAATAAAACAGAGCAAGGTTACGTCGAAACTAATTGTATTTTTTTTTATATATTTAAGAGTGTCGGCTAGTCTCATGTGTGCATCAATTATACAAAATCATTGACACAACAAGTGTGTGAAATCATCTCGCACACATCAGTAACGTGTACGACCACTGTCAGGCGATACCAAATGTCTACATACTCCAGTGAGAATTCAAAGGCCTGAGTAAATGTTATATTTACATGTTCTGCATCGGGAAAAAACAAAAAAAAACAAAGAACTATCTCCAGAACCGCACAGACTGCCTGCTGTTATTCATCTTACCAGGACAAAACGTCGGAGTCGTCTTTCTCCGCTGCGAAATCACACTGTTCCCTTTTACTGCTAGTTTTCTTAGATTTTACTTAAGTTGTAACCGGTTAAACCGCGCCTTTGTACTAATAATGGACTGAAACTAAATAAATAACTTTTGTGGACGATATGTCATATTTTATTACTGAATAATTTTTATCCATATACAGCGAATCGAATGATCGATGGTTGAGGGAGCATAAGCTTTGGCGACTGTCGTACCGACTGTTACCATAATGTCGACGTTATCTACCCATGTTTATTTTCCACCAAGTCACAACATCAAACATGGCTTCTGTCATTCCAATTAAGCGAAAACATGCAAAGATTGTCCTGCCATTGTCATAATTGGGGCATTTGTCCTAATTACAGTTTCGATCTCGTGCCATAAATAGTCCGACTTAGAAGGATCTGCGCGGTCCAAGAGAGCACTAGAGATGTAATAACTAAATTTATTCAAAAATATAATAGATCATTGTTTTAGTTGGTATATCTTGAACAAAATAAAATAGTAAATAAATAAAACTGCATTTACGACCGGCAAGCGAATTTTGAGACAGCATTGAGGTTATATCACGCACCTTGCGCAGTGCCGGCGTTTTCATACTTGGACTTCAATTTTGCGGCAGTCGCACGCGCATCCGATCGGACGGAGTCCGCAGCGGTTGGCGGCGCGGGCGTCGATGTTGTTCTGAACGACAGAGTTGTTGAAAACTGCGTTGAAAACGATGAAGAAAATGAGGAACCAAGGGTGGTTCCTAATCCGAGGGTAGTACGGTAACGACGGCGATACATTTTAGTTTGGTTTATTTCTATGTGTCCGACACGACGGTCCGGGAGAGACTGACGCGAGCTGCGTGAGCGCACCCCGGAAAAGCGGTCAGATTTATTATAGCACTGTCGTCGTCGGCACAGTTGAGAAAGTAATTTTTATAGGAGTAGTGACCGTAGATTTGTGAACGCAATTGTTTTGGATTTTGCCACTGAATTACATAGTGCTGGAAATAGTATTTGTATAGGGCAACAACATTGTTTTTAATGGAAGACAAGACCAAAATATCAGTCAGGAAAATGTTTTTAAGTGGAATTAATGCATAACATACTTTACTTACATTTAAAATACGATTTTAAGAAGTATTTCTTCACACACTGAAGTTGAAGTAAAGGCGACTTTCAGGACCCGTGCAGCCCCATATCACTGCGATCATCATTCTTTACATTTCTGAGCTAAGATGCCCGTAAACTTAGAACGCAGAACTGTAGAGTTTCTTTAGCTCCGATTGCTTTTACCTTCTTTGATTTGGAGCACATGTCCGCCCAGAAGGCAATTCCATATGCCCCTGAGAGGCAACGGCGGTATCGGAGATACGGAGTCATCATGGAATCAAGAGTAATCATGGCAAAATATAAGGACTCTACTCTCACCTAGTTGTTATATGTGCTTGCAAACCAGTTAGCCTTAACTAGCATTCAAAAGTTATTCATGTGTGTTTCTTGGAGTATTATGTTCGAGATCATCGACTTGTAGCCAGAGGTCTCGTGAGGCTTCGTTGCATTGATTACCGAAGATGAGCTCAGCTAGGGTAAGTAATCCGAATTAAAGCATCAGCACTGACAAACAAATTCGTAACTCCAGCTCTCGTAAGCCCATCTAACGCCACTTTGCAATGTCAGGGTGGCCTAGAATTTAGCTAGAAAATCACTTTGTTTCGCTATCTGAGAGTCGTATTCCAGAACTCTACTCAATACTCAAGTCAGGATTGCAATTGAAACACAAGCACTGGAAATACGACCCTGATGGCAGGGACTTGAGTATGATTTCGAATGCTTTAAACCATACTCAAATCCTGACTTGAGCATTGAGTAGAATTCTAGAATACGACTCTAAGAGTGTTTAGGACAGACACGCAATTGTCAGCAATCCTCGATGTTTGGATGCTGAGTTTGGATGACTGAGTTGATATGAACGTCGCAAGTAACGTAGGTTTCCTCAGGTTTATATCCGGCGCTGGCGATTATGGCATATATCTAAGCCTGAAAGATGACTATGTGCAGCTCCAGGGTCAATTTGTAGGTTAATCTGATTCACTCACCACATATACTTTGGATCTACTACTTAGGACACATGTGATAAAGAATACTCTATTTGAAAGCACACATCCAGGATACAAACCATCTTAAGACATTTATGGCATAAACATGATATTCAAAAGAAATTTATAATTAATAATGGCTCAATTTAAATGACTTGTCCATAAAGAGACATCTGTAACATTGTCATAACATTGAAAACATAGTTTCAATACATTTTTATCAATGTATAATGGATAAGTAAGATTTTAGACATTTTACCTGTCCATAGTTGATTATGTCACTAAAGAGTGAACAAAAATATATATCATTTAAAAGATATAAACACATCTACACAAAGAGCTAGTGGGAATTCAGTCTCTGTTGACCCTACAGAGGGTAAAGTAATAAGTCATAGCATGTACAGTCATACTTAACTGACAGTTTATTAATAATAATGCACACACTCAACATAGCCCCGCACTAGGGAAACCCTGTGTTGCAGGTGCCATGGACACACAGATAGACAACCACAGATTACACCCAAACTCACGAGAGAAATAAATGCAGGCCATACAAATATTTCTCCCGGCCCGGGAATCGAACCTGGGGCCTCTGCCTGACAGTCCAGCATGGTAACCGTTCAGCCACAGACGGCAGTTAAAAGTTAACTATACACAGACTATCTAAAATACTTTTAAAAAGAATGACAAACATTGACAAAAGCATAAAAATTATCAACTAAGCTACTAATAAATGGCCAAGGTCAGATATATCTCAACATGCCATCTTGATATGGCTTCTGTTATGTTCACATGAATTGTATAAATTCAGAAAAGTTGTTATGATTGTGAAATCCTTGACAGATTTTCAATTTGTTAGTTAGAAATAATAATTAATACGCAACTGATAAGGCAAAAGAAGTTTATCAAGAGTGTAGCAAATTGAGTTTTAATATTTGCCTAACATAGCAGGAAGACATGCATATACATATAAAAAACAATTAATTGTGACATATAATTTATTTACTGAACAACATCCAATAGTTATATATTTAAACTGAAATCAAAAACTGTCCATGCAGAACAGTAAATAATCATTACTACTCCAGGGTTCCTTACCATGATAATAATAAACTCATGAATTGAGATATTTATTCAAACATTCACAAAAAACCATTACTTGCACAATATTAGATATAAACATAAACAAAAGGTTATCACAAAAGTTCAGTAATGTGTGTAGCATAACATGGCATACTTAGTTATTCATTGCTGTAGAGTGTTGGGTAATTATTTACTGATTATTTCCTATATAAGTATGTAAAGACATTTTGTCAAAATTGTTGGAATGTATCTCTGGTAGCAATTTTCTTGTTGTCAGTACAAGTAGTAAGTTATTTGAAATACTGCAACAGATCAATAGTCTACATTTAAATTACCAGTCTATAAGAAAATAATAATGAAATGAGTAAACCCATAAGAAGGGCCTTCAATAAGTGTCTACATTCAGCTTTGTATGATATAATAGAAGACAAACAAATTCTGTAAACAAAATATCACTAAAGTCAAGTGTCAATCAACAAAACAAATCTTGAAATTCAGTAAAATCACCAAATCAGCATTACTAATGTATTTGTAATATGTGGGAAAAATTAGTTCATAAAAGGTTTGTAGTTTATAGACTAATATGTAGTCTATTACTTCAGAAGTCAATTTGCAAAGCAGACCTCTGTGCCACTACTGCATACAATAATAACAATACAAGAACCAATCACAGTAATATATATATAACAAACTAGATAAATAAAACAATGCAAAATATTGTACAGGCTACAATAGTTTACACTTGACCAAAAATACACAATTGTTCTGTTATTGTTTTCAGTCTTATAAGAATCCTTTTAAGACTGGCTTCTTAAGCACTTTATTAACATGAACTTTCAATAATGAGTTCAGAATGAAAAATACTTACCATTAATAGACCAGATATGTGAAGGCAAGGAGTGGGCAGCATACACTCTGCCGAGAGCGAGTGAGGTCCCAGGAACGGGACCCGGCTCGTCGTTGGAGCTTGAGTCCGTGTCAGGGCTGGCGGCAGCTGATGCCTCATAACTCGCCGAGTTGGGAGGGATCGCAATCGCCTCATGCGAAGAGTGCAGGTCCGGCACCGACGACAATGATCGAGCGCGCTGGCGGTCACTCGATACCTGTATCCCCGGTATCGCCCGCAGCAAACTGAAACCCGCCCCCCCTGACACCACGTCCGAGCTGCTGCTCGTCGAAAATGTCCTGGCGCGCGGACTCTGCCCCCCATTCGCGGTACTCGCCTTAGCACCCATAGCGTTACGCAAATTCGCACTTGTCACCGCAGCCTGTTTTCAGGAGCACACGCGAAACACGACGCCCGCGCTGCAGGAAGACATCGTACGAGACACACGACACTATACTAGATCACGAGGAAACTACTCTAGATTACGACAAACCCAGGGTTGTCGTTTTGCAGCGAATTGTAAACAGCTTCGCATGTGCCTTCCTGCAAAATTTTGACAGCTCCACCTCTCGTATGAAGTTAGCAATGAATCCGGAATTTGCGCAAGTTTTTCAGCGCTCGGATACACACACAACATTATTTAGGAGCTTTTTTTAAATGAGTAGATGAAGATATGGATCTTTCATTGTGAATGAGTAATTATAATACAATAAAATACAGGTGATAAACAAATTAGTGACAGTTCATACAAAATATAACGATATGTTTTTGAGCCCCTGACGGAGCACGGCCCGTCCATGTCCCGGGCACGGCCCGGATATGTGTGGATAGACCTTAATGATGTTCTAAAGTTTTTTTATTTAAAATGAGAATAATATTGACACCCGACAGCAACAATAATGGGCGCACTCAGCGCGTGAACTTATTGACCTCGGTGGGCGCTGGTGAGGAGGTCACGGATTCGATTCCCGGTAGGAAGGGATCAGCAACAACTTGCTGTGGTTGTTGCTGATCTTTTATTTATTTGTAGGAATTATTTGTAATAATAACGTACTTCCGTAGTATTCGAAACGCCACAAGGTCACTTTTTAAAACGTTAAATGCATCAGCAATATCACATTTTAGTTCGTCACGCCTTTGAGTTTTGTTGACGTAAAATCACGAAATCACATTGGATGACCTGGGAGGCCATCGGTCTTCGTACTCACTCGTCAAAATTTGTCGCACACTGCATTTCATCTTCTAGTTAGGTACTTCTACGGACATTCGCTGCCGACCACATCCACGAGTGCGAATTGATAACGTAAACTGGCCCTTATCGAGAATACGTTGATTTACCGCTAAAATTGCGCTTTGTTGATAAACCCTTGGATCTGCCAAGCTCAGAACTCGTAGACGGGGGACATTCTACGTCACATAGGGTCGTATTCCAGAACTCTACTCACTTGCAGTGAACACTGAAAATCATACTCAAGTCCTTGCCATTAGGGTCGTATTTCCAGTGCTTGAAATCATACTCAAGACTGCTCAAATCCTGACTTTAGCATTGAGTAGAGTTCTAGATTACGACCATAAGTTTCGAGCTTCGTGAAAACTCCAACCACTTTCTATAAAACACGAAATACTCGCGATGATAATAGATTGTTACGCTATGAAATACGTCACTTCACTGGGAACATCGACTGATGACTACCACACACCACCACCACATTAAATGAGAAAAGATTTTAAAACAGCAATCGGGAAAAATGGGGATTTTTAATTTAATTTTATTTCACTCTACAGTATTGTCTAGCTGAATGTTATGCGCAAGAAAAAATGGGCGGTGATTTTTTTATCACCCTGTATTTAGGACACTTATTCAACTTGATTACTTGAAGGCGCACCTGGGACAATAAAACATCTAGTTTCTTTAAGAGATACGTCCTAAAAGTTATCTTATAAAAATAATAGCTCGATCCGAATAATATAAAAATACAGGTATTGTATTCAAAAAATATGTCTTTTCAAAAAAATTTAAAGATCGTTAAGACCCTAGCTAGATAGTTACTGTGAGTGGCTTAAAGTGCTTTTCCACCGGCGAGGCGAGGCGAGGCGAGAATTGAAATCTCGCCGACTTGTTTCCACCAAAAATTGCCAACGCGGGCTCTCGCGAGCACTCGCGAGCTTGCTAGGGTGATGAAGACACAGTGCTGTTCAATTCGACCATGTCCCGCAAAATCTTATTATTAAATATGTTAACGGAAGAAGATACCGATGAAGATACTATAAGAAGAAATAATTATGTTGTAATATAAGCTGTTTGTACACTCTAAGATAAAATAAATAAATAATAAATGAAAATAAAAATAACTTTCAAAAATATTTTTTTTATATAATCTTTTATCCCATGGCAAATATTACGAACTAGCAAAATACACACACAAAAAGTTTACAACTGGCGCTGGTATGTTTACATTATATTGCACTATTGTATATTTTTGAAAACGGTGCAATGTTTAAAACTGGTTACATAATTATGATAAAATCACAATTCTAATCGTGTACATTTTAATGCGACTATAAATATATGATATGCATTGTATAAATATTTACGAAAATGATATGAATACATGTATGACACCAGGACTACATATTTTTCATTGACTGTAGTTTGTTTATTTTTTTCTGAAATAAAAGTATACATTTTTTAAAATGGTGTCGTAATTACATATTTTTGAAAACAGCATAATGTAAATTTTTTTAAATATGTAATATTTACATAATTTCGAAAATGTGTCAACGTTTACATTTCAATGCACGCAACTGTATCCCACAATTTCACGATTGACATTAATAGCCATCGCGAGCACGCGCAAGCTCGCGAGATATCGTACGAGACATCGTGAATCGTGTTTCCGTTGCAGAGTTAATAGAGAGTCTATGTAGGCAGCAATACGGTTCAATGTTACATCAACGTATATTTCAAATCTCGTCTCGCCCATCCTCGTCAATTCCGACCAAGTCCACTGAAGATGTGCTAGGAGAGAATTGATATTTTGTCATACACCCTTAGACTATGGCATTATGGTAACCAACACACTCTTGAGAAGTGACCTATAACGAGCATTGGCAGAATAAAGAAGTGACAACTTGTGGTGTTATTCATAAACAAACAAATAAACAAGAAAAATATTGAGTTCTTAGGTTTTCGCGATTGTTGCACATAGGAAATGAAACTATTTTTTGACCATGGGACCTGTAAAGGGCCCGAAACGTCGGTTTGTTTGAAAAAACAAATATACAATACGCGATTTAAATCCGGAAAAACAGTTTAATTTCCTAAGAAAAATATTAATAATAACAACGTACTGTATAATATAATGAATGTATAGTAATTACTATTTAACTACCCCAGTGGGAGACAGGCGTGATGATATGTATGTGTACTATATAACAGCAAAATAGTGTTGTGTTGAACTAAATACACATAAACAAACGTAACGTACCAAAACCATAGTATCAAAATCTTTATATTTTTGGCAAAAGGAACAATATAAAATGTAATGAACATTCAAATAAGGTTTACCTTTATCGCTCTTTCTATGTAGAATAGGTACATATTAAATACAAGGTAATTAATTATGTATGTTATTTCATTATTATTATACATACATAGTTATATTATACGTTCTACCATAATATCTAAGCCTCATGTGGACAAAGCAGTAGGAACAACACTGATGATTTCATTGTCATATTATAAAAAAAACTACTGTCATTTTAACCCACGGCACGTTCGTTTCGAACATAAGTCTTGCATTTAGTTTAGTTTAGCTCATCTATCTATGCCATTTAACGAGAAGACAAAAAGTTGTCAAAAGCTACACGAATACGATTTTGTTTTCTTCGTGTTTTCCTCAACAAAATTATACAATAAAGTATTGTAAATCTTATTTCAGTGTTCATAATGAATAATTCAGGAATGAATTCAGCCACCGTGAGTATTTTGAGTGTGAACAACGTAAAGTAAAGCAGTAAAGCAAGCAAGTTACCATTCCATTTTTGTGGTCATAACTGCCATCCATGATTTTAGACCTTATAGTCATAACAGCCGTATGATTTGCATGTAGTGTGTTAACTAGCGTTATTCTTTTATGTTTTTCTAGCAGCGTAAGCTTAGTTAACGTTAATTATTGTCTATAAATAGATAATGTTTTAGGTTATACTAGCGTTGATTTCGTGTATGCTCATGCTTTGCACGGCTTTGCTGAAGTAGATAACGCCCTAATTACAGCCAGGTGTGCGACAGGTGCCGCTGCTGGATGACGACACCATAGCGTTTGGGGAGGAGGACAATGCTGGCAAGAAGTTTGTGTAAGTTGTTATTATTTTTAAGGTGACTCCTTTGTTTGTTTGACATATAGGAAGGGAATTTAATTTAAGTAAATTATATGGAGGCAATTTTAAGGTGCTGTTATTTTAAAACTTATATGGGATGTTCATACTGTATTATCCCAAAATGTAATTAACTGAAACTACAAAACATTTCAGTCCCTCCCTTCATTTGATGGTGTGTGTGTGTAGACTGAGTGCCCTCATGTATTTTTGCCAGTTGTGATAACTGGAAGGTTTAGTACAAGTTGTAAACTGCATCCTGGAATTTGTAAAGAATATATTAAAAAACTATACCACCTAAGGTGCGGTCTGTCAATTCTCACACCAATGCTTCAATTTTTTTTAAATTGATGCTCATTGGAATGGTGGCTCATTAGACGAGATAATTGCTTTTCGATATTCCCTTAACCGTGTATGTAGTAGAGTGTCCACACAATAACAAGTTCCTATTGACTGTATCCTTTGCTTACTTATTAAGAAATATAAGACACTTAATGTAATGGTCAAGAACATGGAGCGACAAGGACAAACTAAATACTTGCCCAGAAGTGGAACCTTTGGTGTGAGAATTGAGAGACCGCACCTTATATGATATTGTTTTTTAATATATTCTTTACAAATTCCAGGATGCGTTCTACACAATGCTTTACAACTTGTACTAAGTCTTCCAGTTATTACAACTGGCAAAAATCACTTGGGCCCTCAGTCCACACACACATATTTGATGAGGGTTAATTTGTAATCAGTATTTATAGCATTAAACATAGCACTGATGGTATTAAGAAATGGTTCATTGGAAAAATGCACTCTTTCAAAATTTTTTTAAATATTTCTGTTTTAATTTTTATTATCTGTGCAGAATGTAAGCTGGATAATGTGCCAGATGATTTGTAGAACATACCAGATAATCACATGAACTGTCTGGTCTCAAACTAAGAAATTCCCTATACATAGATTAAGTATCATAGAAACTAGGGATGGGTATTGATTAATTGGAATAATCGATTTTTTAAATCAATGTCCCATGGTTTGATTAATCAGATAATCGATCATTTCATACCGAGTTTTGCTAAACAAAATTAAAACTATTATTTTATAATTTATTTTATATATTAGAATTTCATAAAAATATTTTATAAACATGGTAAAATTTGGAAAAAAAACAACCTCTTTTGAATCCAAATGTTCATTTTATTTAGTCGATTTTCGAAAAATGAGACTTGCGCGCAGTACTGTGGCACCAAAAAGATGGTCTACTATTCCCTGGTACTATTAGCTAAGACTTAATGGAGTATTGTCTAGCGCTCTGTATACCTATTTAGTTGTAATATACTTTAGAAATCAGGTAAACAAAGAAGCAGGGTTTGTAAACTGTAAGAGATAAAAGTGACGATATAAAATTTGACATACACAGCTAAAAAAATTCAGCAACAAGAATATGAAGTAATGCGACCAATTAAAATATGTATATTTTGTTGATTAATCGATATTTTAAGCCACGATTACATACAATTGTTTCATACATCAATTGTTTTGTCAAAAAGAATAATTGATGTCAATAATCAATGTTTTGTTGGTTGATACCCATCCCTAATAGAAACTAAATTAATTTCAGAGGGTTACCTCATCATTGACCAAACCAATTTAGAAATGTTAGTTTTTAAATTGGGAATCAAAACAGACCTTCACATGAAGCGTTCTGAGTGCTAACTACTAAGCTATTGAGGTTGTCTTCTATATGATAATTTTTTGTATTCAGTAACATAAATGGCAGATGGTACATGTAATATGGAAAATATTAATTTATTTTTATTTTTACCATTATTGGAAATCCGTAACCTTTTTCCAGGCACCCGTACATTGTATTCTTCCACCTGGTATTCCGTGTGTCAGCCATCGTTGTGTACATACTGTGTGGCTGGTTCTCTGACTCATTCATAGCTAGCTTTGTGATGGTGGTGCTCTTGTTATCAGCCGACTTCTGGACTGTAAAGAATATTACTGGTTAGTTCATGTTATAGTTTGATTCTGAATTTTAATTATACCAACATTACATATTGAATGAATGGTACTTAATTGTATTATATATATTATATAATAATTTTAAATGTTTATATCTGAAAATAGTGCTATATAAGAATAGTATGTACTTGGATTCTTCCATAACCCTATGTAACCTGTACTTACACAAGGTTATTTTTAAAATACTAACAACCTAGCAGGACTGCATTACCAACATCATAAACAATAACTTTTGTTCCATGACTTTTAATAATTATTCTTATAATAATAATTCATAAATGTATTTTAAAAATTTCCCTCTAAACAGTGAGTCTGTGAGTCGTTCGGAAGGCTCCTTGCACATTTGAACTTGCTACCTTACTACCAAATACAGATCTAAAAACTGTCAGATAGTACATAAAAACTTCAATATTTGTTTTTGGTATATTCGTCATGTTTTCTCAAGTAATCTAGTCCTGCAATGTTGTTAGTGTTTTAAAAATAACCCTGTATTAATAAATAATAAATACGTAACAGATGTTATAATTCAGTTTTTCTTTGTTCAGTTATATGATGTTTGTATCATTGCTTGTGTATGTTTTAGGACGATTACTTGTAGGATTAAGATGGTGGAACTATGTAGATGATGACGGCAAATCACACTGGGTGTATGAATCTAAGCAGGTAAGAGTTAAGTCAGCCATTTTAAATGTAATATTTTGTTCATATGACATATGTTTACTTATCAGAAGTCCGAAATGACATTTTCCTGAAGTAACGTTTGCTCGAATTTTCATAACATCGAAAGTAATTTTGAGAGGAAAATGTTTTTTTCTTTTAAATCTAACTTAACCTAACCTAACCGAACCTAATCGTGTTATCGCGATAAACATCAAACATATCCTGAAAGAACAAAGGTTTCGTTATAATTCGGTTTTCGGGGTAATGAAAATTCGAAGAAACGTTATTTCGGAAAAATAAATAAGTTACCGATACATATGTATAATATTTTTCTTATATAATTATAAATGGATAAGTAATATTGAGACCATTACAGAGTAGTTTTAGAAGAATCTTCATACTTCGAACTACTCAGTAATGTAACGAATTAACCATGTAAGCTCTATATTTGTCTAAATTTGAAAGATTTAATAAAATATTCCAGAACCGCGTGAGCGCAAACGAAAGCCGACTGTTCTGGATGGGGTTGGTCCTGTGTCCAATAATCTGGGCAATATTCTTTATCTTCTGTGTCTTCGGACTCTCGTTTAAGTGGATGGTAAGCAACATACAGAAAAATCAAAATGTGAGCTAAATGTTTCAAAAATCGAGGAATTATATTTCGATCGTTTGGTGCCTAACAAAAAACATTGACGTAATCGTAATTTGGCAAAATATAATTAAGTGTCTTAACACATTGTGTTAACATATTTAATTCAATTGTGCCAAAATTACTTTACGTCAATGTACCAAAAGAGTGATTTGTTACAAATAAATAATACATAAGTATATAAGGGTTGTATTCCAGAACTGTACTCAATGCTCAAGTCAGGATTTGAGCAAACTTGAGTATGATTTCAAGCACTAGAAATACGACCCTAATGGCAAGGACTTGAGTATGATTTCTAGTGCTTTGAATCATACTTAAGTCCTAACTTGAGCATTGAGTAGAGTTCTAGAATACGACCCTAAATCTGTCAGATAAAGAAAGAGCTTTCATCCTACATGCTGTGTTTTGCATTGTGCCATTGTCATCTCATTTGCTGTGCCATTATGCGGATACGTATAATCTAGGTCTGTTAACGAAACTCGCTATAGATGACAAAAGTTACTCTATTCGCAAAAATAAAATGACACATAAAGGGCAATTCAATGTAGTTTGTCAGAGCATTTTAGTAAATTAGTGTTTATACCGTTTTGTAAAACGTAGTAAAAGTTTGTTATATGACTTATGAATGAATTATTTAATGTTTTAAATTTTTTCCGCGGTTAAAAAAATATTGAAATTATAAAAAATGGAATGATTGCTATTAAAATTAAAAATTCCGCGTCGGAAATAGTTTACAATTAAAACTATCAGAAAATTTGTAATGGTTGGTTGTATTCTCCGTAGGGATCTCATTCGCGGTTTTATTTCTTTAGTTAAAAGAGCTACGTAAAATATTATATTCTACCAATTTAATTTAATTATATATTTTTGTTAATTATATAGTTTAATTATATTTATATTATAACTTTTGTTATTGATTTTATACTGCACTAAAAGAAAACCTGTTTTGACGTTTATTTGACATCGAATCGAAGTATCGCATATCGATATTATTTTCCTAATTTAAAGGCGAAGCCAGTTCCCACTAGGGAAGAAACCTCGAAATATTTCAATAAAGGCCAGTCGTGAAATTCGCAGCGCAATGAACTAACTATTATCAGCAGTTCCAAATTTGAATAATTTTTGCGTCATTTTGATATATTCATAGTTAATACCTAAATACCTAATCACTGGACTCGAATGCCAATTCTCGCACCGAAAACGGTTCGACCCGATTTGTGCGGTAATCGTATGAACTTGAGAAAATGTCATACGAGATCGTGTTTAGACAAGTCGAAAACTCGTAAGCAAGAATCTCCTTACTACATATTTCTCTGTGTAAATAGTTGTTGCGAATCTCGTATGACATAATCGTAGGCGAGATTTCGGTTCTTGCCTCAACGTAAACATTATGATACGATAATCTTACGTCGATTATTGCTTGTGATAATCGCGTACGATTTTTCGTCACGAAGCGTGCGATAAACTCTCTCCATCTAAATGGGCCTTTATTCTATTATACCTAAAGATTTTAGGGTAACGGTATTTTTTCGCGATTCCATGCAATTTTTTACAAACATTTTTTATGATATCAAGCGACCGGACGAACAAGTCGTACGCCTGGTCGTAAGCGACACGCCTATCCATGACATTTGCACTGCCACTCACAGTTCTAAATCGCAAAGATCTGAGGGGCACTGCCATTGCGTCTGTCACCCTGAGACACAAGTTGACAAGTCCGTACTTTCACCAGCACCCTTACCGTTCAAAACCGAAACGCAATAATGCGCACATTATTACTTAATGGCGCGGCAATGCTTCCTAGGATGAACTGTCACAAGGAGCTATACTGCTACTGTATACTTATTGTGCGCACCAGCAAAGATTTTGTTCCATTCCAATTTTAACTGACATATAAGTTGAATAATAAAAGTACTAAAATTTAGATTCCTGCGTGTTTCCAATTGCAATTAAAGACAGATCAAAATAATGAATATGTAATTCGAATTTTTCCAGCTGCTAGTTCTGATTGCGCTGACCCTGAACGGTGCGAACCTGCACGGCTACATCAAATGCAAGTACGGAGCTAAAGAGAACCTTAAGTCTGCCACAGCCGACTTCGTGCGCAAGCAGATCTTCCAGAACGCTTCTAACTTCATGTTCCCCCAACCTGCACCGCCTACTACAGGGAACACCGGGGTTATATAAGAAAAATAGTTACGTTGTTTACTATAATAATTGTTGTCAAGACTCATGTAAAGGTTCGTCATTAAGGGGTTTATTTATTCTCTATTAACTATCTACTCAGAAACTAAGTTGTAACTCAACAATAGGGGACTTTTACCTGAGTATTGACATAATTTATTTCGTAAGATATCAATATTTTTCATAATTGTACAGTAAAACATTAGGAGTTCATTCCATCCATAATTAAAATCAACTTTTTTTGAAATTGTATTATTTTTCAAAATGTAATTTTTCAATATAATTATTTCAAATAAATAGACCCTTAATTACTTTGTATCGCACGTTGGAGTCAAACCGTCGCTAAACAAAAAAGTTAACTTTTGGAAAATGGATTTAGGCGCTATTTATAAAAATAAGTTTAAATTTGAAAAACCGATATTTTTGTTTAGTGACGGTATAGTTTTAAACGTGCGATATGTATAATTTTTGCTGTTCATTGTTGAAGAACGAAAATTATACATAATTACCAGTGATCGCTATTAGGGAGTTAATTTAGCTAAACTAAAAATGATGTGGAGGAATGTCCACAAACCCCTGGACTTCACAGAACCTATGTCACTTATGTGGTTTTACCTTTAAGCAGACGAAATTATTATTTCCTATTAACTTCCTATTAAAGCTACAAATTATTGTCTCAAAATATAATAGTGTAGTTGTGTTTCTATAGGTACTTACGTATTTAATACCTTAGCCATTGAAAAAAGAAACATGATATAATCTATATTTTGGACTGTCTACAAAATAAACAGTAAAAAAAAAGAAATTTTATACGCATTCATTAAACGTAGTGCTTAAATTCTCTTTGGCATTCATGACAACAATATTAGACAACATCACATACTTTGCTCCCAAAGTAAGTAGTTAAAGCAAAGTTATGGAAATCGGAAACAACGACGATACCACAAACGCCCGAAATGACGAAATGGGTATGTCCATACTAAGAAAATGTTTGGGCTTTAGGTAGATTAACTCCTCAATTCCGATCACTGATAAATTACCGACAACCGCGATAGTCCCAGATTGGTCCTGGATAGAGCCTCGTGGTGAATTCCGCTGATCTGGCACTCATAGCACAGGGAATTCACTAGATTAGGTATTTGATGTGGTTGTCTGGTGTATTATTGTTATAAAAAAATTACTCCGTGTAGATACGAGGCGGAGTGATATATCTTCTAATGAGTCTGAAATTGAATTTTGCCTCCCACATTAGACATGAAGAGCATATTTTGTTATTGTTGTGTAATTATTACATTACTTAATTATTTAAATATGCATCAAACCATAACAAAATACTAGATACATACTTCCCTTCGCATGAAGCAACACGAGCAACATTGACCAAGTCACGAATTTGGAGACCTTGAATAAAATAAATAAATTATGACAGGCAAGGTGTTTAAAAGTCCTTCAAAGCTTATTACGAAATGTTTATTTGTATTTTGTAACAACTATAAAAATTGCATTAAAACCTGTAATGTAAGTAGTTAGTACTGTAATATTTTACGATAAGCTGTATAATATAAATTATATATTGGTTTTTGGTGCGGTGCAAAGTAGAGACCACAGTTTATCACTAAAAATTATGATTCCAATGATCTCTATCACGAGAAATCGATTTAAAATCACCATTACTATTATCTTTTGCTGTGATTGTGTAAAAATAATAAATAATTGTGTAAAAATAATAAATAAATGTTCATTTGTTTTTCTGTAAGGTAAATAAATTATTCCTATAATTAATGATTTCTTGTTTATTTTCGGTTTTATAGATTATAAAAATAATCGGAATTGTAAAATCTAACTAAAATTAGCGGCATACAAAAATAATGCTCCAGGTGAGGCTCGAACTCACAACCCCGGCATTACTCACACGTACACTGTCTTATAAGTACCGTGCGCTAACCAATTGCGCCACTGGAGCTCTGATGACAGTGGTGAAAATAGCGATTCCCTACTACAGCACCACTTGGGTCAAATGACGTCCCATTTTCGTGTTATTCAAACGTCAAATTCAATCATTTACGACACGAGCTCCAAAAATTCAAAAGTGTATATTAATTATTGTAAACGCATAAAAAACATTATAATTTTTTATTATTTTTGAAATACATACAGTATGTAATAGTGTCTGTGTATTGACACGAATGAAAACCTGTAATTTTCCTAAACAAAACACGAAATGGAAACGTCACGGTTCTTGTGTTGTGTTGTGATAATTTAAATTGTTTTTTCTCGCAATAATGGCTTGTTGCACAATTTGCGGTGCCTAATTCACTCAGAACTTTACCTCGAACTTGCAATCGAGCAGTTTTTGTGTCTAATGCGACCTCAAAATGAATTGGTTCGACACGTCAGGTCTTACGAGTTTGGCGAAAACTGCGCTGAAGGAGGCTCAAAAAACCATCGATAAAGCCTTGGACATCCAAGATGAGAGCGGAGAAGAAGAGGAGGTGACGTCTTCAGCAGATGCTAAGACCAAATCCTCACCAGGTAACACGCCCCAAAAAGACTCATCGGATTTCTTTGCTTCGTGGGGCTTAACTGTTAGCGCAGAGAGTGCCAAAGATGATATAAGTGAAGAGCAGCTGGTGGTCACCGAAAGCCCTTCGAAATCCTCATCACAGAGCGTGTGGGGCTCGTTTGCTGGCTCGTTTTTCGAACAGCCTAAGGCCGGGGACTCGGCTATCGTTCGTCCACCCAAAGCTAAGTCTATGAACGTTATTAATGACGCCAAGTATGGCAGTCAAGATGATTTGTTCTCTAAGAGTCAGCTTGTGATGTCAGACAGTGAAGGCTTAGAGTATGTAAATGTTAAACCAACAAAGACGGACGAAAGACGAAGTTCTACTCGCTCACAGCAACTATCTTTGGTGTCCAGTCGGAATAGCTCAGATTCAGTAGAAGTATTATCTCAGAGCCTGAAAACTACACCTGATTCACCGTCAGTACAGTCTATATCGCAGTGCAGTAGCATTGGTGCGAAAGTCAACTCAGAATCTGTAGAAATACTTCCAGATAGCTTGGTTAGCCCTAGTTCAATAGAATGTCTAGGTTTCGACAGCTACAGTAGTCCATCATCAAATCTTTCTCCTGACACAAGCGATAAGAAATCTACACCAGTAGAAGAGAAAACTGAACGAATTGAAACAGCTGATTCTGTCAGTTTAGTAGCTGATGATGATGAAGATACCATGTCATATAATTCCATATCAGAATGTACTGCCCCTACTGTACTGGACACAGATGATAAAAGTGTTAGCCCGTTTCCAAAACCAGTACGAAGTGAACCTCAGAGAAAGGATTTCATACATTTAGAGCAACCACTGTTGGTGCAGCGAATGCAGATTAGTGAAAACTCCTCCAATGATGGCTCCTGGTCAGACAGAACATTAAATGCAGACAATGACAGTGTCATTCTAGACATTACAATGGAAGAACAGAAGAAAGAAGAACCAGAAGATATTTTAATAGAAAAACTTAGTGATTCCTCATCATTTTATAACGTAAATATGTCATCATCAGAAATGATAAGGTCGGAAAGCTCAGCATTTGTAAAAGTGGATCAACAGCAATGTCAACCTACTGACAGTGGTGAATCATCACAGAAAGATGGAAGTGTAAAGGAAAGAATATCACCAATAAGTTCAGATAGTAAGAGTGATTTAGTCAAAATTGGTTCCGATCGTACTTCTGGGCATACCTCAGGAGACGAATTAGAAACAGCAACATCATCTGATATTGAAATTATACCAAGTCCAAATGGCGACAACGGTCACAGTTATTGCCGAAACAGTCCTGCTAAATATGCTTTCAAGCACACTAAATTTGATGGTACAACATCTCCAAATCTTGTTGATCTTGTACTTGGAAAGTCATTAGCTACAAAGATCCGAGGCCATAATAGAGAATTATCTGAAGCATCTGTACAGAGTAATACAAGTGATGAGAGTCAGGGCTCAGAAAATGACAGACTCATGAAGAGACTATGTGAAATGGCTGAGATTCTTGAAGCTAGAGAGAACAGGCTTATGGAAGTAAGTAGAGCAAATGCAGAATTAGCTGAACATAATGAAACCTTAAAGAAGCAGGTGGAGACATTGCTTGCTAAACATGAGGTTGGCGATATTAATATGATTACTGAGGATTATACGCAGAGGATGTCAGCTTTAGAGAAGAAATTTCAACAAGCCATTAGGGAGAAAGTGAGTAATCATTGTAACGCCTTCCTTGCGCCCTTGCCTCATGAAGCTATTGTTAAACCCATTGCTTATCTTTTAACCTTACGTTAAAAGAGTCTAACTGGTTCTAGTATAAACTTGCAGGATCAGTTACGAAAGCAACTCGATGCAATGAAATCAGAATCGACATCACGTAAAAATTCTTCGGAACTTGAAAATGCACTCAAAGAAAAGGATGAAGTGATCGCCCAGCTACAGGAAGAAGGAGAGAAGCTGGCGCGGCAGCAATTGCAGCATTCTAACATTATAAAAAAGCTCAGGATGAAGGAAAAGGATAATGAACAGGTTATTAAGAGCTTAAGGTGAGTGACATGAAGCTTGATTTGGTAAACAAAAACGTGGAAGACTAGCTAAATTACATTCCAGATAAATTAATACATTGAAACTGAATTAAAAATTGAAGAGTTAAAGGGCAGCACAAATGCTATATTAACCTTTGTTTTGTGATGTGCAGAGCTACAGGAATAAATGTGGTAGTGATAACATTGAATGAATAAAATGTGTGATAATAACAAATTCCAGGGACAAGATAACAGAGCAGGCATCAGAGCTGGATCGGATAAAGAGATCAATGGCTGCCAAGGAGGAATTGGAGGTCAACCAGATTGAGGCAGTCTACCGACTGACCACAGCTAACAAGAAGATGGAAATGGAACTTATTGAGGTTAGTTCTGGGATTGCATCTTTGCACTGAGGTGAGGAGCCATGATAATTTAGTTGGGAGCATGTTTGCTTGACTGTAGGTGAGCGGAGTTCGATTCCGGGCTATGTATATAGTACTGAGTTGCTTCAGTGAAGATTAACATTGTGATGAAACCTGTGTATCGGAGAAGGTGTATAAAACATGTTAAGCTTCCAAACTACTGGGCCATATTGGTTAATTGGTGTTAAACCATAGTTCTTTCATTAATTCTTCTAATCTTTCTCTGTTCGAAGCACTTCTGAATAACAAAGGAAGAAAAAGAAAATATATTCAGAAATCGTTACAACTAGAGGCAGTCGATTTTGCTATAAAATCTGTTACAATATAAGTCGTGATAAGCGCTGGCGCAGATAAGAAACATTAGCACCGAGAAATGCAGGAAATGCGTTGTTTTATTGCCACTGCGTCGCACCTACTTGCGTAGTTACTTCTATGGGCCACCTGTATCTATATATGTAAATTTAACTGTCAATGACATATATAACTTTTTAGCTGAAATAGCAATATATTTATTTACGTAAGGCTGCTTTTTTCAATTATGTTTGTTTTTATAAATTGATTGAAACGATGATGTTTTTTGTTGCCATTCATTTTCATGTTAATTTACAATTCTGGTAATACAAATGCTTATTTTATAAAAATTTGAACAAACTAATTGAATGGCATTGTGGAACGTGAAGAAAAAAGACCACGTTCTATGTGAAACAGAAGAATGTTGAATATTTTAGACTAAAAGCGCCCTGGACGATACAAGTCAGCGTCTCGAGAGCACGCGCACGTCTCTGGAAGCGGCGCGCAAGGAGCTGACGGAGCTGCAGCGGAGCGGCTCGGAGCTGCAGCGGCGCCGCGGCGCGCAGGCGCAGCTCGAGGCCGACAAGGAGCGGGCCGAGGCCGACTGCGAGAGGCTGAGGGCCGAGGTGCAGCAGCTGAGGGCGGAGCTGGTGCAAGGTCGGTGTTTTTCAGCTCCTGCCGTCGTCTCTCCCGTTATAAATTACAAGAATTCACGTAGAATCACTGTCGCGATACTGTATATGGTCCTCGCCTTCTGAAACATTAGCAAATTGCAATTCAAAGAGTCATAAGGCTTGCGCGCGTTCTTGTTATATCTTAGTTTATGGTACCAAGGGACGGAACGAACTAGTCGTGCGCCTAGTGGTAAGCGACACGCCTATCCATAGCAGTTGAAGTGCCACACAGAGCTTTAAATCGCAAAGATCTGAGAGGCGTCACTACGCCTGTCATTCCGCCTGTCACTCCGAGACTTAGGTTGAAAAGTCCCATGTGCCTGTAATTTCACCAGCACCCTTAACTTTCAATAAAAATTTAAGCGCATATATTATAACGCGTGCACATTATTCCTTTCATAGAACAATACAGTGGAAGTGCTTAGTTTGCATGGTACGTTTACCAACAGTTCGTGCAGTTGCGCAAACTTGAGCTCAATCCGTCATTTTGTACATTATGGTCGTGTCAATTGTCTCGCTCAAAATCTCGGAAATCGTAGGAAAATGCCTTCTATTGCTACTTTGGAGTGCAAAAATTATAGTCGCACTTGTAATAAATTCATGGTAATGTTCCGTATCATCATTAAGGGAGATCATCACGGTTTTGTGTAATCTAATAACCACTAGATGGCGTTGGTAACGCGAAATAATAGTTCTTTTACGATTTTCGCAACATTGGCAGCCAAAAGTTATGCTTTTACTGTATACGCGATTGGAGGAATACATAATAATTTAAAATTCATATAACTTTTCATATATAATGTTTCAATTAGATATCGAAACTTAGTGATACACACATACAAAGGTATGGTCTCGTGTGCCCTTTGCCTAAAGTAAGAATACTGAAAATTCGAGTTCGAACCTCTCATCATCTAATTCTTTATATTTAGCTTATTTTTCTTATTTAATATGAATAAATTTTAAATTTTCTATATGTTGTAAAAAAATTTTTGTCGCAAGAAATAAAGTAGTCCTGACACCGTTGCTATATGGTAGCTTCTTTTTTGAAGAACTAAATAAACACCTCAAATTAGTCGTCGTTAAGCTATTAACCACTAGACGGCAGCGCATTGATTGAAATTGTGATATAAGTTAAAAATGCAATGAATAAGTTAAGAAATAACTTGCAATAATAGGTATTGATCGTATCGAACTTTCAACGATATGCCAAAAAGATTAGGTTTAAATTATACACTCCCGGACACAACTTTCGAGCTACCTTGAATTTTTATTTTGAAAGACCTAGAATATAAAAATATTGTTTTATTAAAGAAAAAGAGTTTATGCAGTTTTAATGCTGGCAGGTTCCCCCGTTATTATAGTGTGTTGTTGTTCCAAATTTGAAATACGGAGAAAAGTTGTGATTCGTCGTTGTTTTTAAAGAAATAAGAGAGCGTAAGGTGCAAGTCAAAACGAAATAATTGAAATATATTTTTATTTAATTGTTTTATTTAACAATAAAGGAGCTACATTGTTTTTCCTCTAAATTTAACCAAATTTCTCGAAGAAATTATGAACACTGCCCCTGAAGTAGCCGCACAAGCTGTGGCACTTTTGCAGTCTGGACTTAGTCAGCGCAATGTAAGTACACAACTGCATTTAAGTCGTTCCGCTGTGCAAAGGTTATACCATCGGTATTTAGAGAATATGGTGGCAATGTTCGCCGTCAATGAAGACCACGATTTCGAGTGACAACGGAAAGGCAAGATCGATTTATCTTCACGACGAGCTTACGAAATGTCAACTGACTTTAGTACAGATCCAAGAACAGCTTCGAGACTTTCATGGAGTGGCTGTTAGCGCTAGGACTGTGAGAAGGAGACTTAAGGAACGTGGTCTAACTCCACATAAGCCAGCGAACGGGAACTTGACACGAGCTCATAGAATGGCGCGACTCCAATTTGCACGAGAACATTTACATTGGACTCCACGTTAGTGGAGCCATGTACTGTTCACTGATGAAACTAAAATTATGGTTTATGGTAATGATGGAAGAAACAAGGTCTACCGAAGACAAGGAGAGCGTTTTGTGCAGTGTTGCTTTGAAGAGAAAGTGAACTGTGGCGGGGATTCATGTCTTTCGATTTCATGTCAACAGTCTGGGGAGGAATGTCCGCCAAAGGCAAAACTGCGCTTGAGGGGCCGCGGCTACCACCATTAAATGCCGACAGATACATTCGCCAGTGCCTCGAAATTCATGTAATGCCATATGCTGGTTTTGTAGACCGAGATTTTATTGTCATGCATGACAACGCAAGAGCGCATACTGCAAGAGTCCACGGAATACCTTCATGACGTCGGTATTACTACCATGCAGTGGCCAGCACGAAGCCCGGATATGAACCCAATAGAACATTTATGGGACGAGCTAAAGAGGCGTGTTCGAGCTCACCACCCAGCCCCGCAAATCTTACCGGAGTTGAAAGTTGCCATTGAGGAAGAATGGGAGAACATTCCACAGCACTTCATATTGTCGTTAATTAATTCTATGCCAAATCGCATGGCGGCCGTTGTCAACGCTCTTGGAGGCAATACAAATTACTGAAGAGACAATTTTTTCCGATAAGCCACTGTTTTCTTTAAAATTACTTTACTAGAATTTCATTTGACAAAGTTGAATTCAAGACTTGTGACACTTAAACTCGTTTTTCCCCGGTTTCACAAAATCAAATTTTGTACACGGACATACGGAAATGACGTTTAGTAAACCAAAATTGCATTAATAGTTTTTGATCAATCAAACATATTTTTTAAGCTTAGGGCATTTAATACTAAAAATGCAAGGTGGCTCGAAGTATGTGTCCGGGGACTCTAAAACTGAACTTCGACACACGCGACTCCGACAGTATGTTACTTCGACATTATTTTACTCAGACACTACGCTACATCGACAACACAGACGAGATGTTTATTAAAAAAATCTTTGTACTCTGATAAGAAAAATCATCATTACAAACCCACGTAGGAAGTGATTTCTTATATCGATCACTATGACAAAAAAAGGAAAACATTATGTAATCGGAAATTTATTTTATTAAAATACAGAGTTTTTTTAAAACGGGACATTATGAGGAAATCCGAAACTATAGAAGATACAACGAAACTATCTTAGGAACCACAAAGTCGTCTTTTTTTGGGAAAACAATTTTGGCACAGTCCAATTTTTGATCAAAATCTTTTTTTAGTGCTGATCGACTCAGAGTTATGAAGGGATGATTTCATTGTATGGGACGAAGAAAATCGGGACAGCAGGAGTTCGTCAAATTTAATAAAATGTTATTCATTGTGAATGGAATTTTGTTTTTATTCAATTTGGCCAACTTTGATGTCCCGATATTTTTCTTCGGGTACAATGAAGTCATTCTTTTAAGGAACTGAGTCAATTAGCATTAATAAAACTTTGTCACTACAACTAAAATTGTCAATTTTATTTATTTTGTATGAAAAATATTTTATGGAATTTGATCAACTTCTGCTGCCCCAGTTTTTTCGTCCCACACAATGAAACGATCCCTTCATAACTCTGAGTCGATCAGCACTAAACGAAATTTTGATCAATTTTATTAATTATGATGGACAACACACGCTTGACTAAAAGAAATATGCCGAAATTGATTTCATAAAAAGAACTTTATGGTTCCTACATTGACCTACCAATAAATGGACGTCGGGTTCGCGCTAAAAAGTGTCCGCACCTGTAGGGTGTTAAAATCGCATACAGAGCGTCAATCGCGCAATAATCTTCGTTTGTTCGAGTGATAGCGCGGTTCTCAATCATGCAGTACCAATAATAATAACTTGTAAAAGTTACTGCAGTAAAGTGTGAAAACAAGATTTTGTATCATATTTTCACTAAACAAATATATTGTGTTATCATAGTTGTCATTTAAAAGTGTTCTTTTGTTCAGTTTTATAGTATTTAAATTATATACAACTGAATCATAAATATAAATTACAAAAACGCATGAAATAATGGAATGGCTAACTGTCCTTTTTCTACTCATTGCATGCGCAAAAGATGGAAAGAGACCGATTACGTCAGTTTCAAGAAGCTTATATAGACTTCTTGGTCATTTTCAATTGTTCGAACCACAAGCGATTGAAATATTTAGAACAAAGAAACTGTAGAGTTCTTTGATTTTAATCCTATTGTTAAAATGTCAGAAAATACATTTGCCCGAAATAACATTAGCTCGAATTTTCATAATGTGTTTTTACGAAGATTACAAAACAAAAGCTAATTTTGTCTATGTTAAAAGCATCAAAATTACTCGAAAGCGTAACGGTTTTATTATAAATCGGAATTACGGATATTTGAGTTTACGTTTAGTTGGAACATCGGTACATTTCTTATAGTACACGCTTATTTTCACGTTTGTAGTAATATTTGTATGTATGTATCTGCCCAACTCTTTATTATAATACCTTTAAGTGAATTTGTAGAAAATTCGACATAATAATATATATAAAAAAATTAATTAATATATACGAGAAAGGAAGAAAGGAAATTCCATTACTCTCTTGTTCAAGTAATTGTCAGTCGAAGCTAAATATGGTGCATTTTGTTAAGTTTCCAGTAGAAGCTGAATATGGTGTTTTTAAATTGTTGTAAGCAAATTTAGGCAGTACTGCAATGACGTTACAGTTTAAATTAAATGTTTTAGTTTTTTATATTTCGTTACATGTCACTATGTTTGTGTAGGTTAACATAGGGCATTTTATTCGTGGTTTTTCTATTAGACCCGATGTCCATTTGTTGGTAGGTCAATGGGTTCCTAAGACAGTTTTCTTGTATCTTCTATGGTTTCGGATTTCCCCAATTGTCCCATTAAAAAACACTCTGTATAAAGTGAAAAAGAAAAATTAAAATAAATTAAAATATACTATTTCAAAAGTCCAATCCATTATCCAAAATTGTGTTTTGAAAGGCAGTTTCAAATTTTCTTCCGTCCCGAAAATAATTTGTTTTTTCTGTTTACTGTATTTAGGTTTTTGTACATACATGAAATAGTGTAGTAAAAATTTATATTTTAATTTAATAATTTTTGTTACACGTTATATAACTAATAAAAGAATTTTTCGATTTTTATGATTTTGTTTTTTTTTTATATTTATCGATACTTAATAAGAAACTATTTCCTAGATGAGTTTGTAATGATGATTTTTCTTATCAGAGTACAAAGATTTTTTTAATAAACACCGTCTGTGTTGTCGATGTAGCGTTGTACCTGAGTAAAATCATGTCGCTGTAATATGTTGTCGGAGTAGCGTAGTGTCTGAGTAAAATCATGTCGAAGTAACATATTGTCGGAGTCGTGTCGAAGTTCAGTTTTAGAGTCGTGTTCGGGAGTGTATTAACAGTTCAGAGTTTCGATGTCTTACTTTCTCAAACTCGTATTTAATAAAGAGTGGTTATTTACGAGATGGCAAAATTTTTTAATTATTTTAAATTTCTTATCAAGGGTGTTAATATGGACGCATCACTTCAAGAATAGGCGAAAGCCCGTGTGTGAATATGAAGGAAATGTGATGTGAAATCAGCCTGCAATGTTGGTATGTACAGTCCATTTTTTGCATTTCAGTGGCTTTGTGCTTTAAGACGCGAGTTTGAGAAAGTAAGGCGACAATTTGTTATTTCTTTTGAAATTTGACACTACGATCATTCATTCAGGTTCCATAGTGTTTCGAATTACGAACGCGTGAATTTTGCATTGGCACGTGTTACACGAGACGGTCTTCGAAGGGTGTTCCTAGTAGTGTTATAACGAAGCCGGTGCGAGCTCGGTCGGCCGACGACTGACGCGTCGCTTGTGGTCGCAGAGGAGAAGCGCTGGGTGGCGCGGGCGGAGGCGCTGCGGCGCGAGCTGCTGGAGGCGCGCGAGCTGTGCTCGGCGCTGGAGGCGCGCGGCGCCGACGCGCAGGCCGACGCCAGCGCCGCCGCGCTGCTGCAGCAGCTGGCCGCGCTGCAGCGCGCCGCCTTGGAGCGCGACCGCGCGCACGCCGCCTCCACCAGGCTGCTGGCCGCGCAGCTGGGTGAGCTCTCTTCGGTGCCGTCGGCGTTGCCGGAGTCAGTCGGTGGAATAGGTTAAAAGGGAACGCGCTAGTCTTGCGTTAGAATAAATGAATAAAATCGAACAAAATCCCGACTTTCCGCGTCGCGTTCTCGCTCTGCAAACGGCGGCACGTTCGGAATGACGTCTGTAGCCTTTGCCGGTCGAGA